AAAACTGATGATTAGCATGTGCAGGCTCAGCCAGGTGGGCAGAGGAAGTGTGTGAGCAGCAAAAAGGGAGCGTGACTAATCCCTGACCAAATGTCCACATTGGGGATAAGTTATGGGGTGGATGATTAGGAGCTTCATAAACGTGGATAATGCCGGCCTTTAGAGAGGTAAAGAAGTCTTCTTGTATTTATTTCATTTTCCTTTTTATAGGGGGTTTCTATTAGGGCATACCCATCTTTTAGGGCTAAAATGCCTAGCACAGATAGGTGCTCAGTAAGTATTCTTTGAGTAGACCTAATAAAATCCTTCACAACCTTTAAATATTTCTTAAAAGACCATGATGAAAATTTTTACACATACTTGGAAAATGATGTTTTCAGTTTGTCTTTTCTTTTAAAGAATTATTTATTTATTTATTTTTATTCATTCATTTATTTTTAATTTGACTGACACACACACACACACACACACACACACACACATACATACAGAGGAAGTGAGAAAGCAAGCCACCAGGTCTGGGACTTGAACCATGGTCAGCCATGTGGGAATGTCCAGTGCCTTAACCACCAAGCCACTTGATGGTCACCATAGTTTGTCTTTAATGACTATTATCTAAAGTCCTGGGCTATAATGTGAAAAATGCGAAGTATGCTATAATTTAAAATTTTCATGTATACCTAAAATGTGGTTTCTAAAATTATGATTGTTTATATTCACTGTTGTTGGTGAAGGAAATGAAGATTATTTTTCTAAATTGATTTGAATATGTAAAGTGATAGGAGCCTAAGTAAGAAGTTAAGTGGATAAAGCTTCGTAGTAGCTCTAACAACTTTTTGGCCGTACTAGCCTGTGGTAAGTGTTGTACAACTAGTAGCTTATTTAAACTTCACAATGATGGTTGGACTAGTTCATGTGATTACGGATCACATGATTTACAGATGAGGAAATCAAGACATCGAGGAATTAAGTAATGTGTTTGACCTTGGTGTTCAAGGGCACACAATAGTGAGTCGGCTGCCATGCAGACCGCCGTGTCCCTAGCCACTCCACGTGTATGGCATGAACAAACTCAAATCAAAATGGTCAGCTACGTGCACCGCTCACTAGTGTCAGGCGTTTACTTCAGAGACCCAGGTCATCCACTTTATAAATCGTACAGTAGTGTATCAATGGCAATTACATATTTAAGGTAGTTCTGCTTTCACTGAGAAAAAAACTCCTAGGGAGTCTTGTCTAGTAAAATAAACTTGATACATTACTGATATTTGCTGGGACTGTTTATTAGAGATGTCCAAAATTTCATCTCCAGCTTGCCTCTTCATCTGATATCCCACAAGATTTGTCTCTTCAAATACTCTGCACTCGGGCTCCATTAAACACATGTATGTATTTTTTCATGCTTGGCTTATTCTCCAAATCCTCTTCTTTTTTAAGTGAGCTCTTAATCATCTGGAATACTATGCTGAAGTATAGGATGGCTTTATGATATGGTGACATAGACATCCCAGGATTCAAACCTCACAATGTAAGCTTGGGGACACTGCTCCGTTGATGAGAATCTTAATTTTATCACTGGCAAAATGATGGTTGAAACATCATTTTACAGTTGTTGTAAAGGTCAAATGAGATAGCGAACATAAAAGAGTTGGCATGTAATAAGTACATGTTTCTATGTTCAATCCCAGATCAATTAGAACCTTCTCTGTAAACCATGACGCTCCCCTCTCCCCTCCACATCCTAACCTCCACCCCCACACCCAGAGTGAATTTTGGATTTTCCTTTCTGTGCTCCCACAGCACCTGAGAGTCATAACTCTAAACCTGTAGCATCATTTGGCATTTATTTGTTTATTGTCTGTTTCTCCATCTAGAACAGCTGTTCTTAGCTTAGGCTATGGCGCTTTTTAAAAAATATCATTGCGTGGTCCAATTAAATCAGAGCCACTGGTCTGGTATACAGTAGTTGTTTTCAAAACTTCCCAACAGGAAGGGACTCAAAGAGAAAAATAGAGAGGCAAGACATGTCAAGGACCAGAAACAGAGGAGTTTCTGTTGACGACAGTGTGTATGACAGACAGTATGTTTAACTGGACCCGTGTGTAGTGTATGTACACTGGGAAAATTCATAGTACAGGCTGTGGTGGTGAACAGTGATTGAATGTATAAAATAAAATAATAATAATAAAACTCCTGTAAATCAAAACAAAAAAATGCTTCCCAGCTTGTTTTATGAGTCTAGACTATGGACTTCTTGAAAGCAGGGAGGATTTCTGGGTGACACTCCACTGCCATGGTGGGGAGCCTGGCTCAGAGTGGGTGTTTGGTGAATGCCAGGACAATGATTGCATGCATGGACACATGGCAGCCAGCTACCCAGTCCTCCTAAATGCAGAATTGGTAAGTTGGTAAGATTCAACCCATTTTATCAGAACCGGCAGATGGCGTAATGGCTGGGGTGCTGGGCTCCCATGTAGTCGATCACAGTTTGAGTCCTGGACTTGTGGCTTAAACTCACGCCAGGCACATGTGCGTGAGTGCCCAAGATCCTGAGAGGAGAATAGAGGAGACGCGATTGTGGCGTGGCCATCCCTGGGGGGTGATTTCATGCTCTCTGTCTCTCTCTTTCTGGTGACTGTACATGCCCTATAGCGAAAACCTCTCAAAAAAAAAAAAAAAAGATTCAACCCATTTCATTATAAAAATACAATATTTAAATTTAACGTATTCTTAATAAATTTACATTTATATAATAGCTATTAATACCTAAGCAGAAAGGGTTTTTGTTTCACTTTGTTGTAGTTTTTGCTATATGACATGTGTACCTGCTAGAGAGAGACAGAGAGGAGAAAGAGGGAAAGTGTGAAATCACCCCGGTGTGGGGGGGTGATGGTCACACCGCAATTGCTTCTCCTCCATTCTCCTCTCAAGACTTTGAGGACACACGCTCACCTGGAGTGTTTTCAAGCCACCAGGTCCAGGACTCGAACTGCTCAGCTGGCCACTTGGGATCCAGTCACTTTAACCTCCATACTCTCTGCTGGCCCCAAGCAGAAATGTTTTACATTTTCTCAAAATACAGTGATGTATTTATTATTTTTTATTTTATTATTTTGATTACCAAAATTATATTAGCCAGGTGGTTTTAGCCTAGAAATATCTTAAAGGGCGGCTAAATATTTCCAGCTAAAATTAGCAGTCAGCTTGCCACGGTAAGATTTCTCATGTGGACAGCTATGTGTAATCCTGTCCCTTTGAGCGTTTACGGTGTTGCTTTCTCTTGAAGTATATGGCAGATTTGTATTTAACCCGTGTCTTTTTGTTTTTAGTGGTGCATTGATACTTGTATTTAGCTCTGAAAATATACCCAGTACCTTGAGAAAAGAGAAAGCAGGGACTGATGTCATTAAAAGCAACAGCTCAAGCAATTTGTTGAAATTAACTTTTTCTCACGTGGAAGCTAGTGTGGAATAAAGCATTTCTTTTCATAGAGTAAACAGAATCAGAGCTGGACGGCGAGTAAAATCAGCTTCTTATCTAAGTGCGAAAGACGTGTAAGTCTGTTTTCCATGGGATTTGATTTCAGGTTGGCCTGTAGACACTAAGCTGAACAGTGGGTAGGGGAAGCAGATTGCTATCTTCTCTGATAAAGAGGATCATGACTTCATTACCTCAGCTCTGGCCTCGAAACTGAAATGTTATCGGCTTAACCAAAAGGAAGAAAGCATATTAGAAAAGTGTCAGTAACCGTTGAAGGAACTAAGGAGTGGAAATGCACCGGCGAGGTATTTTTATTGACAAAAAAAAGTGTGATTCTGGGACTATATTTAATTTCTCTACAATGTTATTTTCTCTTAGGTAATCAGCTCCGATGTGGGGTCTACTGTTTCCTTCTGGATGATAGACACTGGGCAGAAAATCAAACAGTTGACTGGTTGCCATGGCAATGCAGAAATTAGCACGATGGCCCTAGATGCAAACGAGACACGGCTTTTGACTGGCAGCACAGATGGAAGTGTAAAGGTGTGAGCACAGAGATACTTTTCCACCCATATATGAGGGGCTAAGACATACGTGCCAGGAGGCACAACTACAGACATGTCTGTTTGTGCCTTTTTGGCCTTGCGAGGAAAGAGATGAAGCGAGATACAAGCTCAATCACTCAAACCGTTTAAAAACAAAGCTGCTAATAAAATAAACCTCTGCAGAGACATGAATAAATGATTTTTCTGAATAAATTATTTAGACTAAAAACACAATTTGGCTTACTTATTTCAGAAAGCTTTTTCCAGTGCGCTGGATAGGGGACGACTTTGGGGAATCCGAGACCTGGATAATTTTCATGCGCTTCGGCTCATGGCTTTGGTTTTCTTTTCTCTGTAAAATGAGAAATCAGGACAACTTAAATGAACTTTTAAAAATGGCTTAGATGCACATTTGTCAGAAAATGAGGATTTAAAAAAATCAACCTATTTTTTTAATTTGCATATTTGTTAGATGAAGGTGAGATAGTGAACAAAGGTGATAGGAAAAACAACTATTATTGTTATGTATTATCTACCCTAAACTAACACTTATGCTTCTAGTCCTATTATTTTATAATTATGATTCATTTCTTCTGGGAGAAAGATACTATTTTACTTTGCAAAATGATCAAATACTCGTGCAAAACTAGAGACTTGCTATCGGAATTCATGCCCAGCAGTAAATCTTCTGCCCTTAGGCCCAAGGGTAATGACTGTCTTTGATTAGAGATGGTTTGTGACACTTTGAGGCACTTGAAGGCAGTTTAAGCTTTAATGCTTCTCAAGCCTATCATAACTGGGATCAAAAAGATATTAGACGAGCTTCCGTGGTGGGCTGCAGGATGCACTCGGGCTGCAGGGGAGGGTTGCAGAGAGCTGCCTGGCTGTGTCAGCAGAGTGTCCTGTAAGCTGCGGTCAAGTGCTCAGGATTCCCGCTGGCCATGGTCTGTATGAGGGAATACGATGATGGAAGTGAGAGTCTCTGGAAATCAGCAAACTTGCCTCTGGGAATGTTAACAGAATGAGGGTGAGCTGGACACTTGGGTTTAAGTCATCTTGAGAGCTGGGGAGATGCATGAAGGTAGTAGGACAACCCCAATCCCAACAATCTGGGTGAAATCAAAGAGAACTGTGCCCTAGGCCAAGTGAACAAGCCAGTATCTCTTTACCCATCAAGGGGTATGAAACTGAACTGAACAGTATAGCAAGTATAATGGGTTCTGTTTACCCCTATCTTGAAAAAGAACTGATCAGAGAGTCCAGGAGAAGGTAGACCTTGTGGAACTGTTTCTAAAAGGATCCCAGCTAAGGGACTTACGTGGAATTTGGAACAGTAGGGTCTTCGCAATACTTCTTTGCAGGAATTATTTTAGGTGGACTTGTTAAAAACCATCTTTAGAGAAAAGCAAAGTGACTCAGGTGGAGAGTATATACGCCTGTGAAGTCTAAACACGGGCCTTGACGTCTTAGAAGTTAATGTAAATTTAGTAGTGTAATCACTACTTTTGAAAGTGCATTTATCTCTATCATAATAGCGGAGCAGAAATCTGAAATCTGGCAACCTATGCATAGAAAACATAAATCAGAGTTGAGCTGCTCTCACCACGGTCTATGAAGAAATAAGTAAGAATGAATGACATTTTCCAGTCTCATTTATAATTTAAAATCCAAAATCAGTACGTATGTAATCAAAAACTTAAAATGATTGCTCTGTTTATCATGGTTCTGAAGAGTCTGTTTTTAAATGCATTCATACTTGAATAATTAATGTATATATACACAATTAAATTTTTGAAGTAGCTAAGAGATATGCAATGAAAAAACACCTGCTCCCAGCCCCTCCCCTGAGCTGCCAGTGTGACCGGTTTCTTGAGTACCCTTCCAGGCTGTAAGCGCTGTTTGTTTCTCAGTGACAGTCCTGTCTGTACACACTGTTCTGCAGTTTTGCATTTTTGTCTTGAACGTTGATTCACAGAGATGCACATAATAATAATTTTGTCTATAGTTTTTGCAAGCTTACTCTGATCAGGCACCATTCTAAGCACTTTACACACACACAGACGTGCACACCTATCATGCATACGTAAGGTTGGCTTTATTATCATCTAGATTTTACACATGAGGAAACTGATCCCAAAGAAGTAAAGCAACCTGCTCACAGGTCCACAGATGGTTAGGTCTTGGCAGAATCTAGAAACACAGAGGTGCTGCATTCCTAATGGCTACATTATGTGCTTCTGCAAAGACATTCCATATCCTGATCGTTAGTTCCTTACTAATGAGCAATTAGACCACTCAAATTGTTTGCTTTTGTAAACAATGCTGCCAAAATATGCCATTCCACACATGTGAATGTATCTGTGGGATGCTTTATAGAGGGTGAAATTTTGAGTTAAAGGGTTCATGTATTTTAATTTTGATAGGTAGTGCCAATTTGCCCTCTGCACATAACATGCCAACAATGTTTGAAAATAGAGCATAGTTTTAACTGCTAAAGATCTAATGATTGTATTATTATTTCTTCAAGTATACCTGCTGGGACCTAAGTCCTCACCTCACTATCTGAGAAGGTGAACTAGAACTGCTTATGCACTCTATAAGAACAGACCTGGCATGCATTATCAGCAGGGGGTTTTATCAGAAGATAGAAAACACAGTAATTCTTTACTGTTTCAGACTCTATGTCAAGTATTTAACCCTCTATGCAAGCTGGAAGGGTAAGATTCCTGTGTTGTAAATGAGAAAACAGAAATTTTGAGAGAGACACAGAGAAAGAATCAAGATTTCAACAGACTTCAAATATGGTTCTTAATGATTTTATATTTTCTTTGCTTTAAAAGTACACTTAAATAATTTTTATTTAAATAATAATTAAAACTACACTTATAAATAATTTATAGCTTTGAACCAGGTATTGTTAAAACAGACAATTACAAACAGAGTCAGAGAGTTTATATACTTGTAAATGTGTATGAAAAACAAGGTCAGATTATTCTACTCTCATACTCAATACAACACATACCTAAGGTCATTAAAATGTGCAGGTGGATTTTTCTCCATAATAATCAATTTTGCAGTGACTTATCCAAGGGGCACCATCTGGGCATCCTCTAATTCAATTAGATTCTGACACTGTATGTGGAGATAGCTTCAGACCTCATGAGTTGAGGGGCTCCATCCCACAAGACTACTCCATATATAAGGTGCCAGTTCTAGCCACAAGACTAACCCCCATATCAGATGCCGGTTGCAAGCCCCGTGCTGTGACCTGTGCCTCTGACTGACTAGCTAGGGTTCCTGAGACCCTCTCCTTGGGCTCAATTAATTTGCTAGAGCAGCTCACAAAACTCAAGGGAACATATTTATCCATTTATTATAAAATATATTGCAAAGAATACAGATGAGTAGACATTATGGAATAGATATGTTAGGCAAGGTCTATGAGAAGGGTGCAGAGATTCCAGGCCCTCTTGTGAAGTACCACCCTCTAGGAATCCATGTTTTCAGCTATCAAGAAGATCACTGATACCTGTCCTTTTGATTTATTTTTAGATATTTATTTATTTATTTTATGAGAGAGAGAGAGAGAGAGAGAGAGAGAGAGAGAGAGAGAGAGAGAAAGAGGAAAAGAGGTATGAAACCGATTTTTTAAAAGGGTCTCAACATGTTGTAATCCTCTTGCCTCAATCTTCCAGAGAGCTAGGACTACAGGCTTGTGCCAGCTGTGTTGGCCTGTTGCTGATGGTTCAGGAATAAAACCCAGGTAGACCATCTTGCCCCAGCCTCCGAGTAGCAGTATGTGCCATGGTGGTTGAGGTCTCTTTTGGACTTTTTGTGGAGGTTTCATTACTCCAGTATGTTTGGTTATATCACCAGCCATCAGTGATCAGCTCAACTTTGAGCCTTGCTCTCCTTCTCAGGTGCTGGAGGTTGGGGAAAGAGGGGCTAACAATACTAAGTCTCTAATCATAGTCTTAGAGCTTAGTCTCTTCCGTGACCAGCGCCCAGCCTTAAGTTATGTAGGGACTTCCAACTACCAGTTGTCTTATTAACCTCCAAATGAAACTCATCACCCCAGAAAGCTCAATCATTTTAGGAGCTGTATATCAGAAACTGAGGATGAAGAACGAATATATTTTTCATAATACCAGAAGAGTAATAAATATATTCTTAATGGGAATGGCAAGAGGATTTTCTTGAATTGTTACATATCTTAGATGAATCAACTCTAGGTCATAATATAAACACAAAAGTTTAAAATAATTCTATTACACTGTTTTGTTTTACAGATCGTACATTTTCCTTTCCTGTCTCAAAGGTAGTCCAAATTTTTCTCTTAAAGGTCTGGGACTTCAATGGATACTGTCACCACACGTTAAATGTCGGGCAAGATGGAGCTGTGGATATTTCACAGATCCTGGTTCTTAAGAAGACGATACTGGTTATAGGCTGGGAGAGGTATGATATGCTTCATGCAAAACTATATCAAGGTAGAAGGAGAATGCTTTTCTATGAATCAAAATCCAAAAGTATTAAGGATGTAGAAATCTTGACTGGTTCTGAGTCTTCAACTTGCTCCGTTATATTATTATTATGACTTAGGTGAGTGAAACTCTAGCTGGAATTGACTAAAGGCATAGTGAATAAATTAGGATAAGATTATTAGATTACATTGCTTGGGTGGCTTTGAGAAGTATTACAAGGCTTTCTTCTGGCTTTGGCAATTTGAATGTCTTTCTATTTTATCATTTCAGATAAAGATGTGACACCACTTTCTGGGGTGCAGAAGATTCCTACACTTTATAGTCAGTAAATTCTTAACTGTAAACTGCAATCCTCCATCTGTAAAGAAAGTTCATTCCTTCTTCTCTTGTTACTTATTTTCAATTGCGACATAAGAGGGGAATAGCCCACTGAATTCTGTTAATACCTCCTTTATATCAGTGCAGAAAAGAGCCTTTCACAACCCACTTACTCTTCCCAAGGAGCAATTCTTCCATTTCACTATAAAAAAGAAAATCACTTTTGTTTCTAGAGAGAACTAAGGAATCATAGACAGTGTCTTTTCTAGGGTATTGTATAAATGCTAAGAAAATTAAAGTGTGACTTGGATTGAAAATACATTATCCATAAATTCAACAGTTCACAAAATATTACTCTCATAGGTAATTTGCCCAACATTATTTACTATAGAATTATAATCTCAATGGTCTGAAGCTAAGATTAACCCAGATTTTATTCCTAGAAAAGCAACTGTATATATTTAAGATTTTTATCTATCATAAGAAAGACTTTTCTAAGGCAAATGTGCATTTACAGATTGGCAAACAGAGTGCCACATGCTATTTCATCCTCAAGCACAATTTGACAATAAAGAAAGTATAGTCTAGATTACTCTTCTTAATACTAAGAATTAATTCAATCATCCTCACCTTTGAAGGACAAGACTTCTTCACATCCTTGAGAGTTATCCTGATCCATTATCAGTTCACAAGCACTGTAACTGTCTATGGCCTAACGATCCGTAAAATTAGGCTATGGTGACGATTTGCTAATTACCATGGTGAGGTAGATGTGTTGTATCCTGCCAATCCAATTTAAACTGTGAACATAACAAAAAGGAACTCCAAAAATTAAAATGAATTAAAATATACTGGTAAGTCATCATTTGGGGATACCATTTTCTTAATTTTTTAAGCTATCCATAGTTAGAAATTAGTATCAACTTTAAGCTCTTTTTTCTCTCTCACAAAGAAAATTCCAAAAGATGGGGTATATAGTCACCTAAAAGTGGTTTAAAGGAACATCTGATATTCTGACCTACATTGGTAGGGTAGCACTTTCTACAATCTTAAGGAGGAAGCTTTGGGAAGATCAAATTAAGAATGAGAATAGTTATCGCTCTTTTCATCTTCTTACATCTTTTCAATCTTCCTTACAGTTGTCAAGACTTGGTTCCCTTAGTTGAAATTGAAAATTAAATCAGCGCGTTCTCAGTTATGTTATCTCACTCTTATATTAGGAAAAATTATATTTCCTGGGGCCAGCAGGTGGCATGGAAGTTAAGGCACTGGATCCCACATGTCCAACTTTGCAGTTTGAGTGAGTCCCCACTTAGTGGCTTGAAAATCATGCTGGGTGTGCAGGTGTGCATGCTCAGAATCCCATGAGGAAAATGGAGGAGAAGGAATTGTGGCGTGGTCATCCCCCTTGGAGGTGATTTCTCACTTTCCCCCTCTCACTCTGTCCCTGCCTCTCTCTCTCTGATGAGTGCATGCAAAAACAAACAAAAATTATATTTCCTAAGTCAGAGGGTTCATGTTAGGATAGATTTTGCAGACACCAATGAGACCCTTTTTCCATGAGCTATTTAACAAAAGAGCCAAGAAGACAGGCAAGTGTTTGATTATCATTGGGAAAAGATGGACTAATAAGTCAACTCCCTAACTTTAATGCTCAGAAAAGAAATAACTAGAAGACTGATAGAAAGCCTGTTAAGCTTTCTTAAAATCCTGCGAATGCTAGATAGGTTAACTTCAGGCTCTATCGAAATGCAGAGATTAGTTTGGTAATTTTTCCCAGGATGGAATAGAAATTGCACTTATTGAGTGAGTCACCTAAATATGCCATCTGATTTATTTTATTTATAGTACTCTGCAGTGCTAGGCACTTTACACACATTATCTAATTTAATCCTTACCTTCATCTTAAAAGATAGATAATACTTCATAAATCCCGCAGATCTCTCCTATCAGCTCTTATCTCTCTAAATAAACTTATCCATTTGTTGGCTGGACATGTCTAATTACACTTTCAAACTCAAAATGTTCTGAACTAAAATCATTATTTCTCTCTCTTTTCTTTTGCCGTAGGGTGTAAGCACTCACCAGAGAGAAACAGAGAGACAGTGAGAAGGAAAGTGAGAAAATACCCCCCGGGGGGATGGCCATGCTGCAATCCCTTCTCATCCATTCTCCTTTTGGGATTTTGAGCACTCACACACATGGGCCTAGCGTGATTTTCAAGGCGTCAGGTCCGGCAGTCAGCCATGTGGGAATCCAGCACCTTAAGCACCACGCCACCTGCTGGTCCCTGTTCTCCTTTATAAACCTGCTTCTTTCCTTAGATTTGGAGCTTCCGTTCATTATAGAGACCTTCATTTTCACTTAACTAATTCATACAACCAAGTAGTTACTAAGTCTTATCTATTTTATATTCTAAATGTTTCTTAACCCTGATCCCATGACTACTGCAACTATATTATTCAGAGCATTATTTCCACTTAGACAGAAGCCACAATCTTTTAATTTGTACTTTCCTTCAACAATACCCACTTTCCACCACCTCAATAAATTCTGCACACTTTACGATTTCTACAGTAAATTCTATGTTGGTTCTTTACATATTTAAAAGCTTTCAGAGTGACTACAGAATATCTCAGCTCCCTCTGGCTTAGCTCTATTCTTCATTCTCTAGTTTCATTTTCACTCATTCTTGTATATATTCTAAACGCTATCAAACGGCAACCTCAGTGTTCCCATAAAACCCACACTGTTTCACACCTCCCTGCCTTCAGTCTCTCCCCTTGTCTAGAAATCCCTCTCAGACTTTTCATGTGGCTGACATTTATTTCTATTTCAAGATTGCTTCAGATCTTCACTTTCTACCAGGATATTTTTTTTTCCTCCCAGGATAAAACTATGTCCTCCTTTGTCTTTGTACTCTCTAGCTTCTTTCAAATTATTTAACATATATATATATATATATGCTTATTAGATGCTTACAATTTGTTGAATAACTTAATTAAGGTGTGTTGAATAGACAGGAAAATTGAGGATTGGAAAGATTCATTGCCTTCAGTTATATTCTCAGTAAGATGGAAGCAGTGTAGATATTTAAATGTATTATTTATTTACAATAAACCAAAGGTAATCTAGTGTACAAATGGTAAATAATATAAATCCTTGTTTGCAAGGGAGGCTTAACCAGATTAAGGAGCCTAGCTAAGTTACAAAGCTACTAGGCAGCTAAGTTACAAGCCTATGGTAAAGTCTAGGTTCTTCCAGTCACTCCTGAGTAGGCTGGTTGCAAATGAAGTCAAAAATCATTGGAAGACAACTCTGTGAGTGTGTCTGTGATACATAAGTAAATATACATTTCATATATATATTTAAAGTTTATGTCTTCCATGAATTAGAGAGAGAGAGAGATAGCACCCCCAATTGGGTCCTCATGCCATGGTCAGCCAAGGTCATGGGTACACACATGTGTCTGAGCCAGCATGCACAGAGAAATCTCAGGATAGGGATCTGGGGGCCTTACATTTGGAACATTTAGAAATACATGTTACTGTTGTGTCCCTGCAGCAGATCTGTGTATTTTTAAACAAGTAATTTAGTAGATTGGTCATTTGAGTTGAAGCTAATGAGTCAGTTTTGCACATGTGAAGAAAGACACAAAAAGCATGTATTGTCAACTTAACAATGCCCCAAAGATCTAGCCTGTCATTTTCCCCCTTCTCCTTTCTACACATATTTTTAGGCTCCACATCAGTTAAAAAGCATTGAGTTAGTAACTATGGTAGAATACATGTGAAGAATGGTGGTTCCTGTTTTTGAAAGCCCCACATTTTAATTGGAGAGTCAACACAGACTAGGCAGGACATGTTAAATGTCATGTTAAATGGTTCAAGTTAAAATGAATTAGAGGGTCAGCTGGTGGCTTGGTGATTAAGGTAGCAGGATCCCATACAACTGATTGTGTGGTTCGAATTCCAGACCTGGTGGCTTGAAAATCATGCTGGGCATCTGTGTACACGTGCCCAAAATTCAGAGAGGAGAACAGAGGAGATGAGATTGTGGCATGGCCATCCCCCCTGGGGGGGGTGCTTTTTGTCTTCCCCCCTTTCTCTCTCTGGTGAGCACACGCATCCTATAGCAAAATTAAATTAAGAAAATGAATTACAGAGTCCATGTTGGTTATCTTGAAATATGTCATTCATAGCTGAAGAATTTTTCTTTCAGAAAAAAAAAAAAAAAAACAAAACAAGCCTACTGGGCATGCCCAAGATCCAGACAGGAGAATGTAGAAGGGAGTATGGCATGGCCATCCCCCTGGGGGGTGATTTCTCACTTTCTGTCTCTCTCTCTGGTGAGCGCACACACCCTATAGCAAAAAACTCTTAAAAAAAAAAAAGGAAAGGAAAAAAGCCCAAATTCAGAACTGTTAGAAATGTTTCAAATTATTTTCAGTGAAATGTGCTTGACAACAAAGTTGTTTTTGTTTTTAAAACAAAGGGGTCAATTTTTATAATTTCTGATTAAATCTCTTACAATATTTATGTTGGTAAAATTAAATGAATAGTTAAATAATTACCTTTGCATTTGTTCACAATAAGCATGTAATATAGGGACCAGCAGTTAGCGTAATGGCTATGTTGCTGGACTTCCATGTAGTCG